ACAAAGATCATTTTATATACTTTATAATGTCACGTTAAAATTGAGAATTATTTGTTGTCTAAATTTCTGCTAAAATGTGTGTTTTAAAATACATTTTGTAATTACATATATATATACATCCCCATAGTTTACTTTCTCCCAATATTACATCCGGGAAATTGGAAAAATCACAATAATAAAAACCTAAACCGAGGTTACTTAGGCGATAGATATTCTTCCATACATTATTGCATATATAAAAATTTTAAAAAAATGTCTTTCAATCTGCTTCATCATATGCATTGGTTTATTACTAAAAATTAGGTAGTTTTAGCCTGTATACTCTTCCTATTTCCATATAGTCGAAGGAATACATTACAGTCTTGAATTAAAAAAAATCATTTATATATTATAATCACCGTTTAAAAAAAATATTTTTGTCTAAATTTCGTCTAAAATTGTTTTAAATACATTGTAATTACATATAAGATACCTCCCCCATAGTTTATTTCCCCAATATACACTCGGGAAATTGGAAAAATCACCAATAATCACCTAATGCAACCGCAGGTTACTTAGTGCGATAGAATTCTTCCATACATTATTGCATATATAAAAATTTTAAAAAATGTCATTTTCAATCTGCTTATCATTGGGCATTGTTTTTACTAAATTTAGGTAGTTTTAAGACTGTATATCTTCCTATTTTCTATAGTCCTAAGTATAAATTACAGTCATTAAATTAAAAAAAATCATTTATATAATTATAATCACGTTAAAAAAATGTTTTTGTCTAAATTTCGTCTAAAATCGTTTTTAAATAGCATTGTAAGTTAACGTCTACTATACAATCCCCAATGGTTTATTTCCCCAATATACACCGGGAAATCGAAAAAATCACAATGAATAACCTAAACCGAGGTTACTTAGGGCGATAGAATTCCTTCATACATGTATTTGCATGATATAAAAATTTTCAAAAATGTCTTTCAATCTGCTTAATCATTGCATTGTTTTTACTAAATTAGGTAGTTTTAGCTGTATAATCTTTACCTATTTCTATAGGTCTAAGTATAATTAAGTCTTAAATTAAAAAAATAACATTTATATCATTATAAATCACGTGTAAAAAAATATTTTTGTCTAAAATTTCGTCTAAAATTTGTTTTAATATACATTGTAATGGTAACATATAAAAGTAAACCTCCCCATAGTTTTTATTTCCCCAACTATACACTCGGGAAAATTGGAAAATCACAAATAATACCTAAACCGAGGTTACTTAGGCGATAGAATTCTTCATACATTATTGCATATATAAAAATTTTAAAAATGTCTTTCAATCTGCTTATCATTGCATTGTTTTTACTAAATTAGGTAGTTTTAGCTGTATATCTTCCTATTTCTATAGTCTAAGTATAATTAAGTCTTAAATTAAAAAAAATCATTTATATAGTATAATCACGTTTAAAAATTTTTTGTCTAAATTTCGTCTAAAATCGTTTTAAATACATTGTAATTACGTCTAATATATACATCCCCATGGTTTATTTCCCCAATATACACCGGGAAATCGAAAATCACAATAATACCTAAACCGAGGTTATTAGGCGATAGAATTCTTCATACATTATTGCATATATAAAAATTTTAAAAATGTCTTTCAATCTGCTTATTCATTGCATTGTTTTTACTAAATTAGGTAGTTTTTAGCTGTATATCTTCCTATTTCTATAGTCTAAGTATAATTAAGTCTTAAATTAAAAATAACATTTATATATTATAATCACGTTAAAAAAATATTGTTTTGTCTAAATTTCGTCTAAAATTGTTTTAAATACATTGTAATTACATATTATACCTCCCCATAGTTTATTTCCCCAATATACACCGGGATATTGGAAAATCACAATAATACCTAAACCGAGGTTACTTAGGCGATAGAATTCTTCATACATTATTGCATATATAAAAATTTTAAAAATGTCTTTCAATCTGCTTATCATTGCATTGTTTTTACTAAATTAGGTAGTTTTAGCTGTATATCTTCCTATTTTCTATAGTCTAAGTATAATTAAGTCTTAAATTAAAAAAATCATTTATATATTATAATCCGTTAAAAAATTTTTTTGTCTAAATTTCGTCTAATCGTTTTAAATACATTGTTAATTACGTCTACTATACCTCCCCATGGTTTATTTCCCCAATATACACCGGGAAATCCGAAAAATCACAATAATACCTAAACCGAGGTTACTTAGGCGATAGAAATTCTTTCATACATTATTGCATATATAAAAATTTTAAAAATGTCTTTCAATCTGCTTATCATTGCATTGTTGTACTAAATTAGGTAGTTTTAGCTGTATATCTTCCTATTTCTATAGTCTAAGTATAATTAAGTCTTAAATTAAAAAAAACATTTATATATTATAATCACGTTAAAAAATATTTTTGTCTAAATTTCGTCTAAAATTGTTTTAAATACAGTGTAATTACATATAATATACCTCCCCATAGTTTATTTCCGCCAATATACACCGGGAAATTGGAAAATCACAATAATACCTACAACGAGGTACTTAGGCGATAGAATTCTTCATACATTATTGCATATATAAAAATTTTAAAAATGTCTTTCAATCTGCTTATCATTGCATTGTTTTTACTAAATTAGGTAGTTTTAGCTGTATATCTTCCTATTTCTATAGTCTAAGTATAATTAAGTCTTAAATTAAAAAAAATCATTTATATATTATAATCACGTTAAAAAAATTTTTTGTCTAAATTTCGTCTAAAATCGTTTTAAATACATTGTAATTACGTCTAATATACATCCCCATGGTTTATTTCCCCAATATACACCGGGAAATCGAAAAATCACAATAATACCTAAACCGAGGTTACTTAGGCGATAGGAATTCTTCATACATTATTGCATATATAAAAATTTTAAAAATGTCTTTCAATCTGCTTATCATTGCATTGTTTTTACTAAATTAGGTAGTTTTAGCTGTATATCTTCCTATTTCTATAGTCTAAGTATAATTAAGTCTTAAATTAAAAAAAACATTTATATATTATAATCACGTTAAAAAAATATTTTTGTCTAAATTTCGTCTAAAATTGTTTTAATACATTGTAATTACATATAATATACCTCCCCATAGTTTATTTCCCCAATATACACCGGGAAATTGGAAAAATCACAATAATACCTAAACCGAGGTTACTTAGGCGATAGAATTCTTCATACATTATTGCATATATAAAAATTTTAAAAATGTCTTTCAATCTGCTTATCATTGCATTGGTTTTTACTAAATTAGGTAGTTTTAGCTGTATATCTTCCTATTTTCTATAGTCTAAGTATAATTAAGTCTTAAATTAAAAAAAATCATTTATATATTATAATCACGTTAAAAAAATTTTTTTGTCTAAATTTCGTCTAAAATCGTTTTAAATACATTGTAATTACGTCTAATATACATCCCCATGGTTTATTTCACCAATATACACCGGGAAATCGAAAAATCACAATAATACCTAAACCGAGGTTACTTAGGCGATAGAATTCTTCATACATTATTGCATATATAAAAATTTTAAAAATGTCTTTTCAATCTGCTTATCATTTGCATTGTTTTTTACTAAATTAGGTAGTTTTAGCTGTATATCTTCCTATTTCTATAGTTCTAAGTATAATTAAGTCTTAAATTAAAAAAAACATTTATATATTATAATCACGTTAAAAAAATATTTTTGTCTAAATTTCGTCTAAAATTGTTTTAAATACATTGTAATTACATATAATATACCTCCCCATAGTTTATTTCCCCAATATTACACCGGGAAATTGGAAAAATCACAATAATACCTAAACCGAGGTTACTTAGGCGATAGAATTCTTCATACATTATTGCATATATAAAAATTTTAAAAATGTCTTTCAATCTGCTTATCATTGCATTGTTTTTACTAAATTAGGTAGTTTTAGCTGTATATCTTCCTATTTCTATAGTCTAAGTATAATTAAGTCTTAAATTAAAAAAAAACATTTATATATTATAATCACGTTAAAAAAATATTTTTGTCTAAATTTCGTCTAAAATTGTTTAAATACATTGTAATTACATATAATATACCTCCCCATAGTTTATTCCCCAATATACACCGGGAAATTGGAAAATCACAATAATACCTAAACCGAGGTTACTTAGGCGATAGAATTCTTCATACATTATTGCATATATAAAATTTTTAGAAATGTCTTTCAATTTGCTTATAATTGCATTGTTGTTACTAAATTAAGTAGTTTTAGTTGTATATCTTCCTATTTCTATAGTCTAAGTATAATTAAGACTTCAATTAAAAAATTTCATTTATAGATTATAATTACGTTAAAAAAATTTTTTGTCTAAATTTCGTCTAAAATCGTTTTAAATACATTGTAATTACGTCTAATATACATCCCCATGGTTTATATCCTCGATATACACCGGGAAATCGAAAAAAAGGCCCCCCCACCCTCCCTTTTTTCATTTACTATATAGATTTTAGTGACCTTGGGGATTTAAATTGATTTTATTTTGCTTCTGAAAAGTTTTTTACGGAATTTTCTTTTACAATCGGTGTTTGCAGGAATAGACTAGTATAAATTTTTAATCTAACTCCTTTTAGAATCGACAAATTTAAAATTTTAAGAAACATGATTAGAACACCAACTAAATCGGCGGAGGGAGTGAGCTCACCTAAGACGCCTTCAAAGATGAATATGCCGGCTCGACGAAGCCTTAAGGAAGTGTTAATGCCGCCAGTAATTAAAAAAAAGGTAGGAAAAGGACCGGAAAAAAAAAACTAAGGCTATTATCTATAGTGACATAATGAAAGAAGCCGACATAATCATCGGAGAAGCGAAAACAGCGCTTGATCAATCAAGAAATCTTAAAACCGAATACAAAAACACCATGTCGGCTTCTCTCGATAAACTCAGAGAAATTATTATAAAAATAATTATAAAAATGATGACAACATCGGAGGCTGAGTGTGCCTGTGGGGGACCCGGGGACGCCGGGGTTGTAAGGTCGTTGACAGAGGACACCGGCTCTGCATCTGCGGTGGACCAGGAGTCTGGCATTAGTGCCAAGCTCGATGAGCACACTCGACTCTTGATGGAGAACTCCCGGAAATTGACAGACCTCCAAGAGCAACTGGCGAAGTGCCAGAATACAATAGAGCAAAAGACCTACGCGAATGTGGTGGCATCGAAATCGCCACAACAGGTACAGGGCGCAATTCACTCGATGGTTGTTACGTCGAAAAATTAAACTTAGACTAGTGACGAGGTTCTAGATAAGGTACGACAGACAATCGATGCGAAAGAAGGATGGGTAAAAGTTGAGAGAGTAAGGAAAGCACGTGATAGAAAGATCGTCATAGGGTTCAACTCCACAGAAGAAAGAAAGAAGGCTAAGGAACGGCTAACTGAAAAAGGAACCGGCCTCGTTGTTGAGGATGTTAAGAACAGAGACCCACTCGTGATCCTCAGAGGCGTCTTAAAGGTGAACACCGATGAGGATATAGTCAAAGCCCTGAAGAACCAAAACAAGAGTATCTTTGACGGCCTCAATAGCGAAGACGACCGGATCCTTGTCAAGTATAGGAAACCGACCCGGAACGCGCAAATGGAAAACGTGGTCCTGAGCACCTCGCCCATTCTCTGGAATCGGATCACAGGTATGGGCAGCGTCCACATAGACCTCCAGAGGGTCAGAGCGGAGGATCAGTCCCCACTGATTCAATGTTCTCGTTGTCTCGGCTATGGTCACAGCAAAAAAAAAAATTCTGTACGGAAACGACAGACGTATGCAGTCACTGTGGAGGTCCACATCTTAAGACGAAATGTACCGAATGGGCTGAGGCAACCCCGCCCTCATGCAGAAACTGTCTCAAGGCGAAGTTTGAGAATCGAGAGCACAATACATTCAGCAGTGACTGCCCAGTTAGACGGAAGTGGGACGAATTGGCCCGCTCGGCAGTGGCGTATTGCTAAGGTTGTGCCGGTCGACACAGTGGCAATTAAATTTCTGCAAGCGAACCTCCAGCGTAAGAAACTCGCACTTACCGAGCTCCTGCTTGAAGCCGAAAAGGGCGGAGTTCAGGTGGCGTTAGTGCAGGAACCATACGTCGGTAGAGAGAGTAGGGTATCGGGTCGGAGTGGTATAAGGGTCTTCCAATGCACCGACAACGGGGAGGGTACTGTTAAGGCAGCAATAATTGTCTTCAATTCTGACCTTCACATCACACAATACCCAAAACTCACCACGAACAACATCGCAGTGGTGGGTATCCGAACCAGTGCATGGGAGATTACCCTGGTTTCGCTCTACTTCGAGCCCGACCAGCCTATGGACCCTCATCTGGCACACCTGCGCAAGATCCGAACAGAGTTGGGAGCCACAAAATGGTTAGTAGCAAGAGACTGCAACGCCAAAAACATGTGGTGGGGTAGCCCCGTCACGGATAGTCGCGGCGAAGAGCTGCGTGGTACCCTAGAAGACCTCGACTTAGACATACTGAACAGGAGGGATATTCCCACCTTTGACGTAGTAAGGGGCGCACAGAGGTACACCAGCTTTGTGGACATCACGACTGCATCGCCTGAGCTTCTCGATCTGGTGGATGACTGGCGAGTACGTGAGGGGCTAACTTCTGATCATAACGGCATCTCCTTCGCAATACATCTTACAAAGGTCAGACACAATCACATTAAACGTTTGCGTTGTGTTTGAGCATTTGATGTACCTTATAAATTATTTTTCGAATGCCCTCAATGTAATTTGTTAATTATTTCATTTTCTAATGAAATTTTGTTCCCTAATTGGAATTATTGTGAAATGTTAAAGTTGGGATGGCCGAATTAAAACTATTCAATGATTAATTTAATCCTTCTCTTTAAATATGGTTCTTCATAATCTTTTTGCGTAAGCGCTTTCTACTTCACTTCAGAAACAGACAGACACTCACACTCACACACACACACTTGACAGACACACACACGGCGCACACACACACACACACATGACACACATGACACACACACGACAGACACTCAAACACACACACATGACACACATGACAGACACACACACACACACACACACACACACACACACACACACACACTCATGACACACACATGACACACACACACATGACACACACACACACATGACACACACACACACACAAGACACACATGACACACACATGAAACACACACACGACACACACACACTCCTGACACACACACACACACATGACACACACACATGACACACACACACATGACACACATACATGACACACATGGCACACATGAGTCACATGACACTCGTGACACACATGAGACACACACACACTCATGGCGCACACACACACACACACACACACACACACACATGACACACACACACATGAGACACACACATGACACACACATGACACACACACACACACACA